ACAGACAGCTCATTCATTTTACAGTATTTGCAAAGAGTAAAGAAAAGAAAAGATCTATAGAAGTAAAGTATAACCCACAGATCAGATCCCAATAAAGGACAGACTGTAGCTGATCCCCGGCCTCCATATTGAAGTAATTTGATAGAAGCTTGTAGTCAGTGAAGGAGTCAAGTCTTCACAACTTCAGCCGGCAGAACATCGGGTGCATCCTGCATCTTTGAGCCAGCGGATTTCCCGCAATGAGAAGCATCTGCAGCAGAACAGAGTGCGGGGACAGCTCGTGAAACACCTGGGCACCGGCTATTTACCGAGAGAAATAAGCAGCAATGGCGCGTTTTATTGCGCTGTGGATGGGAACTCTCCTCCAGCTTTGCCACGCAACGATTTATACAAACGACTGGGCGATAAAAATAAGAGGGGACCTCGAATCTGTGAACAGGATAGCAGAGAAATATGGATTTACTAACATGGGACAGGTGAGTGCCCTCAAACATGAAGAGGGCAATTATTTACACAATTACCAGACTTGAATTTGGAAGTTTCATTTATTGGAAAACTGGAAATATTGGACAAATCTAACTGTGGAGCCACTAATGGCTTTACTAATATTTTTTTAGGATTGCATCAAAAGCTGTTGATATCTGTCTGCACTGTCTGGTCAGCCGTCCAGGGACGAATGAATTATATCTGCTAAAGATTTAAAGAAGCAGCAGATGAACAGATACATTCATAAATAAATAAATCATGACCACCAGCATGTTTTTCAACAAGAATTTGACCTCTGCATTTAGCCCAGAAATGAGCAATGAGAACACACACACAAGAAAAGGATATTAATGAAATATTTAAGGGCATAATTTGTTGTTCTCTTGCAATAGTGTGAGCTGTCATGTGTTTTATTAACTAGTCATTACTCAGTGGACTGCGCTTGTATAAAAATATTAGCTGACATACATTATAGAATGCACACAGTGACGTGGTATGTGCAGCTACACCAGTACACAGATGAGCAGCAGTGTGGCTGAAACCTTTTGGCTCAGGTTGCCCTGGGCTGTAAAACTATCAGAGGTATAAGGTAGCCGTGTTAATAAAAGACACCACGAGCAGTTTAATAATTAAAAAGCTGCTTTGCACAGTAGCAGAGCAGAACGAGCAGCACGCCTCCACCTCCAAACAAAATCATTTCGAGGATCTGATGTGTGTTTTCACCAGATTGGAGACCTGAAGAGGCATTACAGTTTTCGCCATCACGAGACGGCGAATCAATCCAAAATAGGCAACAAAGAAGTGACTGATCGCGTCGCCAAGGAGACCAAGGTATAGTAATGAGATATGAGTAGGACGGGGAAGCTACTGGATTATTAATCAGCAGCATCATGTCCCCTCCGTACACTCCACGTACACATAGGGACACATGTTCATTGTTCTGGTCCCTCCCCTCACATTACAGCTTTGTGTGCACGAACACTAACAACACCTAAAGATGTCAGAAGTCCTTAAAGATCAACAAGGTGTTCAGGGTTGCATCAAATTCTTATAGTATCAATAAGCAGCTTGGGCATATAGTACAATCAGACAGGTTCTAAGCAACTCCCAGTGTTATCTGGTTACACACAAAATCACACTTTCTTTGTCTTCCACCTTCAGAAGTTAAAGAACATAGTCAGTGTTTGCCAGGAGGACTTTTTTCCAACTTGGGAAAGGGAACCATCCAAGGAGCTTTTGAGTTTACATTTAGTAAACAGCTAGGGATTCATCTTTTTCACAGCATTTAGCGTACGTCAGACTTTTTAGCATTAATGTCACTTTGTACCAACATTTTTGTTCATGTATAATCGAGTAGTGTCTGAAATCACAACACACTAACATAATATAATTCAGACTGTATGACCTATGAACTGTATATTGAAGATGAATGTTGCCTCAAGCTGAGTTTTTTTTAAATGGAGGATGAATCTGATTAAGAATTCAAGGGACCACTCACTTCTCCTACATCAACGTGGCACGCTAAGGAAAGGCCCAGAATCATAACCTTCTATGTTTGTTATCTGTTTTGATTCTAATGGAGATCACAATTTACAAGTGAACATCATTTTGTATTCAGTGAAACCTCAAAAACACAAAAAGCACAACACAGAAACTCAACTGCAATGAGTTTACTGTGGTGTAAGAGACAAAGGGTTATTTTTATGTTGACTTCTATACAACTGGACTATTGCAAAACAGAGGAGGCTCCCCCTGCTGGCCAACAAAAGTAAAGCTAAATTCAGCCTTTAACCATAACATGATTTGATACATGATACATAACAGTGAAAATTCCTGAGAAAGAGTCACAGAAGTTAAAACAAAAAAAGTGTCCAACGCGAACACTATTATTGTATTATTGTGAATTTTCATGAATTTCAATAAGTGCCCTATAACGGGTTCAGGAACAGGAAACTGCTTCTTTGGTGGAGCCATGTTTGCAGCTTTACTAAGCACACAAATTGCCACTAGGTGTGAATGTGCGAGTGAATGTGAATGGTTGTCTGTCCCTGTGTGTTGACCCTGCGACAGACTGGCGACCTGTCCAGGGTGTACCCTGCCTCTCGCCCTATGACAGCTGGGATAGGCTCCGCGACCCTGAAAAGGATAAGTGAATGGATGGATGGATGGATGGATGGATGAATTCTAACATCAATGCAGGATTATAATGGCAGCTGTAACATGGAGCTGTTCAGGAGTTTCAGAGCACATTAGCACGTATCTGATAAATGAACTCAGAGACCCTAACAACCATTAACAGAACCAAGAAATGTAATTAGTTTTGCAGGAATAAAAACAATTAAAAACTTCTGAATTTGCACCAAATTTAAAACCTTTTAACAACTAAGAGCAGATATTAGCCTCATAAAGGCACTAGCGGAAAAGTTTAGCGTCCACACTTTGTGATACTTCACTGAACAAAGTTACCATTTTGACCTTAAAACAGTGTTATATGAGCAATTTACAGAATGATCAGGATGTGTTTATATTTCAGTGAGACAGCTGCATGTTGCAGCAATTTGGGATTGTGGGTTTTTTGTTGTTGAACGAAGAGCGTGCAAGTCATTAGCTTGCACTGATTACGTTTGTGCCCTTTGTCTTTGATAAGTCATCAGAGTATCAACCAGAGGTACAGTGTCAGGGCCCCTCCTCTTGAGAACATAATTGTTTTTTGCCAGCGCAGTAAATGCAATATAGCTGCTGAAATATTTCACAATGGATCCAAAAAAGTAGACATGAACATCTGTACAAATGTTCCTTTTAAGGTGGAATGGCTCAAGCAGCAGGTGGTCCAGAGAAGAGTAAAGAGGATCTCCAGAGCCGGTCATATCTCTCCTATCCCCATGAGGAGAGAGCTCCTCCCTGCTACGCACCATCAGTCCAGCGACCACATGCAGGACTTCAGCGACCCAGTGTGGAACCGCCTGTGGTACATTGTGAGTCAGATTGTTTTGTTTTGTTTTCCTTTGCCATGCTCAAGTCTGAAACATAGACACACAAACACACACAAACCCAGACAGACAGACAGAGCCTAAAATAGACCCACATTTATTCTTTACTCCTGAGGGTGAAGCTGAATGTCCCACTATTTCGCTCCACAGCAGTGCAGTGACTCCAAAGCCTGCCAGTCTCACATGAACATTGCAGCGGCCTGGAGGAGAGGGTACACTGGGAAGGGTGTGGTGGTGTCTGTCCTAGATGATGGCATCGAGAGAGAGCATCCGGATCTGAAGCCAAATTATGTAAGTGCCCTGGGATGGGACACTCTTCTTGGGAAGGGGACATTAATCATAAGCAGTTTGGCAGAGCTCTTAGTGTAAGAGCTCAGACAGATATTGCGAGCAGGGTTTTTGGGCCAAAGGTTTGGAAAGGCCAGCTAAGAGTATTGGAATGGACATTAAACGTCTGATCCACTTAGCTGTTGAGTGGGCTGGTGAATAATGCTCTTTGTGATTTGTCTGATGAAATACAGTCAGATAGCTGCTGGCATGGTGTTATGTGCCGCTACTTAGTATCTATCTGATTTAGGATCCTTTTGCCAGCTTTGATGTGAACGGACAAGACCAAGATCGTTCTTCTACCAGTGCTGTTAACAAGTGAGTACTTTGTATCTCTGGAATTGTCTTTGCACCTGCTTTGCAGCTTCCCTGTCATAATCCAGAACTCTAATTAATGCATGCTTTCCCTTTCCGTTTTCCAGTAATTACATGCATGTATGGATATGCAAAGTCCCCAGTCTAAATTCTGTCTTCGCATAGCTTGATGTAACGGAAATAGCCCGTCTTCTCCTCATGCATATGCATTTAACCTCGCGTTCTGATGTTCTCCTCCTTTCTTCGAAGCCATGGGACTCAGTGCGCAGGGGTGGTTGCTGCAGCTGCAAATAGCTCTCGGTGCACCGTTGGAGTTTCTTTCCACGCACGCATAGGCGGTGAGTCCATGTGACGCCATGAAACTCGCACGCCGAAGGACTTCGTGAAAGGCAAAGTTTTGTAGATACAGTAGGGGATTCAAACTTTATCATCGCTTTGGTGCTATCCTTTTCCCCCAGGCATCCGAATGCTGGATGGAGATGTAACAGACATTGTGGAGGCCCAGTCGCTTAGCTTCAGTTCAGGGTATATTGATGTTTACTTAGCCGGCTGGGGCCCAAAAGATGACGGGGCCACTCTGGATGGACCTGGACCTCTGACTCGTCTTGTTTTACAGAACAGCGTTCAAACAGTGAGAGAAAAAAGTGTGGCTGTGTTTGTTTATGTCTGTGTCCCACCTGCGGCTGTATATTTACTGCAAGAGCTGTTCTGTTTTTTTCCTCAACATCAATATGTAAATATCATAAATAAATTAATCTCCTCTGTCTGCTTTACCCAAATAATCTCAGGGCCGGCAAGGGAGGGGCTCCATCTTTGTTTGGCCGTCAGGAAACGGAGGGGAAAGAGGTGACTACTGCTCCTGTGACGGCTACAGCAACAGTATTTACACTATCTCTATCAGCAGCAGCACTCAGCATGGAAGCCAGCCAGATTACCTGGAGCCGTGCCCCTCCACGCTGGCAACGGCGTACGGCGGATGGGACAGAGAGGAGATGGTGAGTGTTGCTAACAGAGAACTTAATTAAGATTCACATGATTCAAAAAATAGCTTCTTTTCTTCCACCGTAGTGAGCAGCCACGCTCTCCTGCCATCAGTCTGTTGAAAATAGCTTTACCCAGATGCTGGAAAAACATTTTCTCGCCTCAATCCAAAGCAACATTCATATAGACACAAACACAAGTTGCCGAATCTAAAAAATATGTTGCGAAAGGCAACATTTCTGTTAACTATTAGTAGTTTGCACTGTGGAATCTCAGAGGCTGAAGTTTGCAAAAGTTGCAACTCAATGAACCACAAGAGCTCTGGGCACCTTGCTGTCCTTGAGCCAACCATGAACTCTCCTTTATTACAAAGTATTCAGTATGTCCAGTGTGTATGTGTGTTGGACTCCTGGGTCAGGACAATGATCCTAAGCACAGCAGCAAATCTACAATAGAAAGGCTCAGAGAGAAAAGAATCACGGTGTTGCAATGGCCCAGTCAAAGTCCGGACCTTAACCGGATTGAAATGCTGTGGTGGGACTTCAAAAGAGCCGTGCATGAACAAATGCCCCCCCAAAATGAAATGAAGCAATGTTGTAGGCCAGAATTCCTTCACAGAAACATGAGCAACTGGTAACGTGTCTCACGGTGTTGTGGAGACAACTTGATAACTTGTGATATACAAGCTATTAAATCATGCAAAATATGCAGTTTTTTACAGACAAGAAGAAAAACAAGAAAAACAATGGTCTACTCTCTGTAAGAGGTTATATAATTCCTTTAAATATTTAATATTTTAGACATAAATTTCCAAAAGCAATTATTATTTTACAATAAGAGGAAGAAGTGAAGCAATGCAATGCAGTGATACTGACTAAACTCCAGTTGCTTCTCCTGAACACAGATTACGAGATATTTGTCGTGTTATGACATTAATGTTTGCACGGCATTTACCACTCAGAGGGCATGAAGTTATTTAGATAATAAAATTATATTAACTGCTAATTTAAAAGTCATTTTTGCACTGTTTCTGATGATGACACTGGATGTCTTAGAGTAGTTGGATTTAACATTCACCGGCATCTTGCCAGCTGCTCAAAGCCAGAAAATACACATTTGGGATATTAAGCATTGGCTTTGGGCAGTGGTGTTGGGGGGGGGGGAGCATGCAACGTCTGCTGAGTGTGATAGTCTGAGACACCTGTCAATCAACGAAATATGCCCAAGACGGAGGCTCTGTGAACTTTTGTCTCTGCAGAACAAAGCTGAACTTGTGAAGTCACAGAAAGGAGCTGCTCGTTCAAACCCGCAGCAACAAATGATTTTGTTTTCATGTTTATTCTTAGAGCTTTAATTTTCATTAATTAAAAGCCATTACAAGAACTGTGGTGTATGTCGTCAGAACTCAGTCAGCAGTATAATATTAACATACTAGAACGGCCCGAGGAAAATTTCCTAATGTTGTGTGAAATATGTTTTGTGAAAACCAGATTTCACTCTTTTGTTTTGTCTATCTAACTGGAAGAGTCTCTCTCTCTTCCCCCCCCCCCCCCCCGGTTTATGGCACATCACCATGGACAAAGGATAGTAGTTACTCTATACTAACACAAACCAGAGTAAGTGAAAATTAGGATAACATACAGATTTTGCACGTAAAGTCTTCCAATTGGAATGAAATCACTGTCTGAGTGTAGAAAATGCCAAATACTTCTATCATGTCATGTGATTTTCAGACATTGTGGGTAAACAGAGTTGGGTAGCTGATTAGAGTAATTTGACTGAGAGCTGCTTCTCTGGCCTCAGGCTTACATGTTTTCCATTTTGTTTTCTCAACCGACACACAAAACAAAAAAAATTCTAATTATGTGTACTGTGTTTGCCAGTATTTCTAATTTTTCTTTCTACAAAATGCATTATCTTGATTAACTTTTGTCACTCTGACACTTTTGTTAAATTGTTGCATTTGTCTCTGTGAGTGATCGTGTGTCTGCAAACTTAAAAATTAAGCTACTTTATGACAAATGTTACCTAACTGGTGTTTGGAAACAGGTGAGTGTGTTCCAGTTGCTGGTTAACCAGGCCCATATTCTACAATATACAGCACTGTCCTGAGCTGCAATTCATTTCCAAGGAGCCAGATTTGTATTTTATTTTTTAAAATATTTTTCAAGTAGTCTTTATATAACAGGCAACTTAGCAAAAACCAAATTTATTCTTGTATCTTTAAGCACATAATTTGTTGCCTCTTTTGTTTCGTTTTGTTGTTGCTTTAGTTGAGTACTAAAAATCCAAAGATAATAGAGTTTCAGATAAAAATAGAATATCTGCACCAGTGAAGTGATTCTCAGAGAGCCATTACGGGAAAACGTGTCATATGGTTTGCAGCATGTCCTTAAAAATGTTGAGGAAACTGTCCGAGTGGACAGTTCAGGCATGTTTTGCACATGTTTCAATAAATCACTATTTCACATTTTCCCAAGAAAATATAAAGAAATGAAGGGTAAGAAACCAGACAGGATTAATTAGCTAATTTATAGCAAATCCATAACCTAAATCCTAAATATTGATCACATTAATGCTGAATCCTCCTAGTTAATTCTTGCCAGTCATTTGAATGCTTTCCAAAATGATTTGATGTGCAAAAACTACACATACAGTCAAGCAGAGTCCACAAAAAAGAGCAGTTCTGTGCTGTTCATGTTAATAGTGGGTGAATATAAAAAAATAAATATAAGTGGTTTCCTCCACAGGTGACCGTGGGTCCACAGCAGAGCTGCAGCACGGCCCAGTCAGGGACTTCCCTCGCCGCCTCTGTAGCTGCCGGTGTCATTGCTCTCACCTTGGAAGCCAAGTAAGCAGCCCTCTAATAACAGCATCCATACATGCAGCTCGTGTTCAGATCAATTTGTGCAATCGGGTGATGAGAGCATGTGGTTTCCTTCTCTTGAACGTTCAGCCCCTTGCTAACCTGGAGGGATTTGCAGCACATTATTGTCCGTACATCAAAAGCTCATCATCTCAGTGCTCCTGACTGGCGTGTAAATGGAGCCGGATACAAAGGTACTCCCATCGGATCTCTGCTGATTTTCTAATTCCACATTGTCTATTTTAATATTTGCCAGCCAAAAATAAATAAATAAATAAAAAAAGAAGAATCCCCTGACTTGATAAGCATATTTTAGTAAATGTTCCTCTCAGCTCTTTTTTGGGGGAACTATAAAGCAGCGAGCATACAAACTAATGAGGTACTGTGAGCAGAAGAGCAATAAACGCCTACAAAGTCTCGGGAGTGTGTGAAGTCATTTATGAGCTACAGTGCCTTTTCTATGCCCCGGCTAATGTGCAGTGTGTGTGTTTGGGGATGTGCTGGTGTCTGTTAGTGAGCCACCTGTACGGCTTTGGCCTGCTGGATGCTGAGAGCATGGTGAAGGAGGCAGAGCGCTGGAAACAAGTCCCCTCACAGCATGAATGTGCGGAGGAGGCTGCCATCCAGCTGAGCAGGTATCAGAGATCTCTGCTTCGACTCAGGGCTTTCCTTGATTCCTCCCCTTTTATCGCACGTTATCTATTTCTGTCTCTCTTCTGGAATTGATTTCTTTCACACTGATTCGCGGTCGTACTTTAATGGGTGTCATTTTCCTTACCGCGGCTCTCCTCGTAACTTTCTCTCGCGCTTCTTGTTTTCCGTCTGTTCTTTTATCTCCACTACTCCCTGCGTCTCTTTTTTCTCTCATGACAGGCTTATTCATCCGGGCTCAGTGCTAATGTCTGTGCATGAGACTACAGGCTGCTCCAGCAAGGCCCCGCAGCACGTCGCTTATGTGGAGCACGTCGTGGTCCGGGTTAACATAAGCCACGGTCGCCGTGGTGATCTCTCCATCACCCTCACGTCACCTTTGGGCACCACGTCGCAGCTGCTGGCAAACAGGTAACCGAGAGCGACGGTTTCTGCAGATTACCTGATAAACATCAAATCCTTCAAAAGCCAAATATTTGAGTTTGACAGATTTGTTAAATTAAAAGAATAATGGTACTTTTTGAAATATATAACACCGAAATATAAAATACACCTGTTAAAAGTATCAACTTCACCTTTCCTGAGATACTATTTAAAGCTGCTGTAATCAGTACTTGAGTGGTCACTGTATCTACAGCCCCTTGATCATTTTGATGTCTTTGAGCTCATCCTTTTGGTTTCCACTTGCAACCTTACTGTTTTGGTTTCCTATTAACTGCTCTCACCAGCAAAGTTACAAGCAGGAGTGGGCTGTTGTTTTCAGTGAAAAGGTTAAAAAAACCCAAAAAAACCTGAAGTGCACCGCCTGTGAAGCACCAAACAACAGACAGAGAGTTCGTGACTGGATGGCAAGGAGACTGGAGTATTTAGCCAGTTGCTGTGCAACCGCTAGAGGTGTTAAGCTATAAGTCTTCACCGACCATTTAAAAATACAAATAAAGGGATGATTTTAATTGCTCATGTTCTACTTTCATGACGCTTTTGATCTTTGTTTTCTAAAAGGTAATAATTAGTGCGGCATCAAGGTATTAGCTGGTATCGAACAATCAGCACATAAGATGGCATTTAATGATCACAGTAACTGTTAAGTCTAATTCTTGAATGTTGTCATTGTGTTTCTTAAATTTGTAAAGTCTTAGTTCAATCTATAGGATCAAGACATTCCTTTGTCTCTGACCACCTCTCCAGCCACTCTGTGCTGGGGGAGGTTTTATTGCAGATACATCCTATCAGACAGATCAGTTTCTTGTGATGTTGCTTCCTGCTTTTATGATCCTTTTGGTGAGCAGGAAGTCGTGCATACAGAGACAAACACACACACACACACACATGTTCTTGCACATGCATACACATACACACACACATTGTCTTGTAACCGAGAGGGGTCTTACGAGGGGGGGTGCTTTTGCTGTGATGTGTATTGTAACAGTTTGTCAATAAATAGCTGCGAGGGGAGGGAAGCTGCTCTTGGAAGGATTTGGGCTGGAGTCAGGTGAGGAGCGTGAGCTCCAAGAGCTGGTTCTGACCCAAACTTCCCTCGTTAGCGAGTTGGTTGTTCTGTTATGTCTTGCGTTCTTCATGAGGAATAAGTCTCTAAACTAGCAGGGCTTGTGGAAACACAGACCCAACCAAGTTTTACACACTCAGTTAATGGGGTTAAGTTAATGGGTCATTCTAAATTGCCCATAGGAGTGAATGTGACTGTGAATGGTTGTCTGTCTCGACGAGTCCAGGGTGTACCCTGCCTCCTGCCCTATGGTGGCTGGGATAGGCTCCAGCCTCCTTGTGACCCTGACAAGGATAAGCAGAAAACAATGGAAGGATGGATGGGCAGTGTGACTGTGGTGTAGTGGTTAATGTGTTTGCCTTACACGTGAAAAATCCCCGGTTACAAGCTTGTACACATTGTGCAAAATTCAATTTTATAACAACAAATCATAACAACAGTCACCTCGAGGCAGTTATCTGTGCCAAATCAATGAGGATCCATGTGCTGTGGTGACATCATAGGAAATAAAGGAGCAGTCATGGTGCTTATTTTATCTTAAATAATTAGACTCATTTTTTGACACTACAGAAAAATCACAGATCTAATATTATTCCATGGAAAAAAGTAAACACACCCTTACCATTACAGGCTTAATTTCCTCCTTGTTGCTGGTTTGTATCGTTGTTTACAGTCTTTGGCATTTTTCACCAGCCTTATATGCAAAATTCCTTTAATTGGAAAATATTTGAAGGCTTTCTTAACTTGCCTGTTCCCAATCTTCCTCAAAGGGCATTTAGACGTGACTCCAGTCTAATCTGTGCTGATACGATCTGGACCAGAATTCACTTTTTGCCTTCTGTCTATGATTTGTCTGTGAAGTGTATGTGATTCCAAAAATCCTGGTCTTTCTTTATATGCTTGTCGAAAACAATTAAGTGTTGTTTTTTATTTCAAATTAGTACCTCACAATGATTTTCCAGACAACAGACTAATTTATGTACAATAATTTATAAATCTATTTAAGTTAAATTTAATTTTTTTTTCCTCCAAGTGTTTCCAAGTGTTACAGAACAGTTTAGACCTTGGCTTATACCTGACCATAGGTATCTATTAAGGTTTTCAGAAGAAATCTCTAATGCAGATGAAGTAATCAACAGTCTTTAACAATGCGAGAGGTCAGGTACAAGTTCAATAAAAACAGAATAGTTTACAGATGTTGTAAGTCCACATATTAGCCACAGTTGAACACAGAAAACATCTAAAACTGAGAAATTTTACTATTTCATGAATTATGTCAGCAATTTTGAATGTGATGGCAGCAACAAGTCTCAAAAAAGTTGGTACAAAAAGACCAAAACTATGGAAAAGCAAGTTGTACTAAAAAGAAACAGCTGTTACAACTAATTAGGCTAAATGGTCAGTAGCATGATGGCAGAAGCAGTCTCTCAGAAGTAAAGATGAGTGGTTTAGTAGGCAAATTGTAGAACAATTGGATGATAAACATAACATTTTCAACATAAAATCGTGAAGACATCATCAAAAGTTCCCAGGGATCTGGAGACGGACCAAAATCCACATTGGATGCCCCCCCGGCATTAAAGACGGGCATCATGCTGTCATGGAAATGTCTGCATGGGCTCAGGAAGACTTGGAGAAATTGATGTCTGTGAACAGTTTGCTGTGCCATCCACAAATGCCCGTTAAAGAAGAAACCATATGTGAAGATGATCCAGAAATGTTGCCCGTCTTCTCTGAGCCAAAGCTCATTTAAAATGGACTGAGGCAAAGTGGAAAACTGCTCTGTGGTCAGATGAATTGAAATTCCTTTTGAAAAACATGAACATGGCGTCCCCTGGACTAAAGAGGCGAGAGACCGTCCAGCTTGTTATCAGCGCTCAGTTCAAAAGCCTGCATCTCTGATAGTTATGGGGTGTGCATCAGCGCCTATGGAATTGGCAGGTTGCACATCTGGATAGGTACCATCAGTGCTGAGAGGTATATACAGGTTTTTAGAGCAACATATGCTCTGAAAGTCTTTTTCAGGTAAGGCCACACTCATACACAGAGAGAGGAGAGATTGAAAAAAACACGCAGGAAGCAGAAAAGATGGATTACAGGTCAGCACAGGAGGACAAGAGGGACTGTGACGATTAGATTTTTTCCATGTCATTGACTGATTTTTTTAAAATGTGAAAATGACTAGAAAACAGGACTGCATCTTTCTTATTTGCCCTTTCATACAGGACTGAATGTTTATTGCTTCTATTTTATTCTATAGCGTTTTCTAGGGGATGAGCTTGCTTTCTCATATGAATGTATAAATCATTTACAAAAAGCTGAAGCTGTAATGTATTTATGAGCCATGAATAAGAACACAACACAGGGATTTGTCACGTACCCGGTTTGCCCTCCTGAAGCGAAGCATGTTTCCTATCTTTGATTCAGATAAAGCTGAAAAAATTAAGGTGATTTTGCTTTTGTGTCTTTAGGAAACACATCCTTTAAATCATCATATAACGAGTAGTAGACGAAGCAGCAGCGTGAGCACGATTATGTAATGTTTTCATTTAGGCCTCTTGACAACTCCACCGAGGGATTTCAGAACTGGGAATTCATGACAGCTCACTGCTGGGGGGAGCAAGCAGCGGGGGAATGGACTTTGAAAATCCAGGATACTCCCTCTCAGAAGAAAGACGGCTCCAAACTAGGTCTGCTCTTCCTCTTTGTAACGTCTCAATATTATGAAACATGCACTGAACCTCGGCTCGCTGCAGTTAAAATACAGGGCTGGGCCTCGCGGGACAAAGCCTCTTATCTCTCTGCTGTTTCACAGGGGTGCTGGAGAAGTGGTCCCTGGTGATTTATGGCACAGCGGAGCGCCCGTATCCTGCGCACCGCGAGCGAGCCAGATCAGCTGAGATTCCGACGGATAGCGAAGAATACAGCGGTGAGTCATACACCCTGCATCTTGATAGTACTAAAGCTTTCGCTTGTTCTATCTCCGGCCTCTCAGTCAGCAGCTTAATGAACTGGGATGCGATGTATGCTTAATGTGGCAGGCTCTTACATAAATACAGAATAAAATCAGCAGTCTGAATAACTTCTCTCTTGTGATGTGACGTGATGCTGCTGTGACTTTGCGAGTGTTCACCCTTGCAGGACCCTGCGACCCAGAATGCAATGATGATGGCTGTGAGGGGCCAGGCCCGCAGCAGTGTGTCACATGCTTGCACTTTTTTCTCAAGTTCAAGAACAACACAAGGTTAGCATGACTACACAGCACAGAGCTATTGGCAGATCCACAGTATGTGGCTCACACAATATGCTTTTAAAAAATAAGTCGGGTTTTTATATTGTGTCAAATCGTTGTTGAAGTTCACAGGTTTCTGTGGCTATGATTGTAATTTACACATGAGGACAAAATTACTATGCCCCTCCCCCTTATGAAATTGTATGTTTTTGTCAAAAATTTCTCAGTTTAGGTTTTTCTTTGTTTTTTTTAGACAGAGCATTTCTAAACATACTGGTTTTCTTCAAAAGCATGAATTCTTTTGTTAGCCCCCTGAAAAACTGACCTTTTCATTGAGTCACAGCACAAACCACTGATGTGGTTTAACTTTATAGCTTAACTTTATGGATATGCAAAGTTATCACAGCCTTTCTAGAGTGTCAGTGACTGGAGTGTCATTCAAAGAGAGCCACACATCTGGCAGATGTAGCAAACAAAATATTTCAAAGATCCTGGAAAGAAAACTAGCGAGAGACTCCAGAATAACTGCAAAGACTCTAATCAATAACTAATAGCCAAATCAGGAATTATAGTCTCAAAAGGGACAGTGACTAGAACTAGGCACGGGAGTGGCCCATGAGGTTGCAGACCAAGAATAACTTCACTGCCGCAGAAGAGAAACCTTCAAGCCAGACTGAAGGATGCTAAGGACAACCTGGAGAAAGACTATGCATACTGGACGGGCATCCTTTGGTCAGGTGAGTTGATACTTGAGCTCTTTGGCCACATAGATGTTGCTTATGTTTGGAGAAAGACAAGAGAGGCAAACAACCAAAAGAATACCATCCTGACAGTTAAAACATGGTGGCAGGAGATGCTTCAGTGTGTCTGGAACTGAGAATCTCATCAAGGTGGAAGAAGTTACAAAAAAAGAAGGATGTTTGACCATCTTGGAAGAAAACCTCAAGTAGTCAGCAGCAAAACTGGGTCTGCATCATTGCTGTTTTTTAACATGACAATGACTCAAAACATGTGTCGGGCCTGGTGAAGGACTACCCCCAGGAGACCAAAGTGACGGTTACTGACTGGTCTGCACAGAGCCTGACAGATCTGAAAATCTGTAGCTCCAGGTCAGTGCCACAAGATCATGAAATCTGGAGGAGCTTGAGAGACTCGCCAAAGAAGAATGGGCTGGGGTTGCTCAGGAGAGGAGTGTGAGATTTGCTGAAAACTTCAGGCTGTTATCCAGCAAAAAGGACACATGGCTGAGCATCAGGGGTCTGGTAATTCTGTCCTTGGTAGTTTTGGGGTTTTATGAATTACTTTTGCTTTTCATTGTACTAAAAACAAATATTTGTTCAAATTAAATTATCTAATTTATTTCCATGTACATTTTCCATGTAATTTTGTTACATAATACAATGTTAAATTTCCGTTTAATGGAATCCGGTCAAATTAAGATAACTCCATTTGTATACATTCAGTTTATAGCAAGCACATTTTCTTAATTATTAATTACTTGAATAAATAAATCTTTGATTCTACATATTTCAGTTTTATTTCAGTCAAAATTATTGCTTCATGCTTATTGAGGGTGAAAAATAGTTTTCATTTGAGTGTGTCCTCATCTCAAAAATTGACCCGCAATATAATTTTTTCCACTCCGAATCAATAGCAACACCTCTCGTCCTCTGTGTCCTCTGGTTCATGGCTGTCCGATAGGTTGTGCGTATCAGGATGTCCCAGGGGATTCTGGGGTGACCGTCGGCGTTGTAAGAGGTGCTACGCCTCCTGTGAGAGCTGCACTGGAAGTCGGAGTGACCAGTGCACTTCCTGTCAGCCTGGCCATCACCTGACTGAGGGGACCAATACCTGCACAGCGATCTGTGGGGAAAACTACTACCTCGACCACGGTTGGTTCTGTTTTGTGAAATTTTTTGTGATTAAATTAATGCGACAGAAGAAAAAAAATCCTTGACTGGGTTACAGAGGAGCGGTTTGAATGCAGCTGCACTAATGAATAGTCAGTTGACATAACTGCAGTTGAAAGTATGTGAGTAAGATTGATTAATGGCTCTGATGTGTATACTCCATGCGTATTGTTTGATTTCCCCACAGATGCAAACATGTGCAGAAAGTGCAGTGAAAACTGCTTGAAGTGCACCTCCTACAGCATCTGCACAGAATGCAAACCACACACAAGGTGAAACAAACTCTCTGATGATGCTCAAATTAACTGCTCGGTAAACACCACTCCTTCTCCCCTAAGCCTCTGAGAATACTGATTCTCCTCACACACGTGAGCAAACACACACACACACACAAACCCTCAGCAGAATCATAACATTTCTAGAAAGATAAGTTTATCTTAATCGACGCTTTGCTGTATCGCTACTTGAAAGGACAAAACATCTCGGACAAAGAGTTCGAAGTTTCCGGAATAAAGCGTTCACTGACTCAGTTCACCGAGTGTTTGTGGTGGTGTTGCTGTGGGATGAAAGCAGTGACTCATCCGTTTTGGTGTCACATGATTGACTGTGTGTGTCACGGTGCCACATGCTCGCTCCATCCTCTCTAGTCTACAGGGGAACCGGTGCCAGCGGAGCTGCGCAGCCGGATTCTACCATGACCCGCAGGAAGTCACGTGCAAGCCTTGTCACCAGGCCTGCGCTACCTGTGCAGGTGAGAGCGGGGGTCAAAAGTCACATTTTGGTTTTGTTTTTTACTGCTGCCGTTTGCATTGCTCCTTTATGTCCTTTATCCAGTAATCCACTTAAGTGTGTGTGTGTGTCTGCCTCATGCTGCACCAGGTGCAGGTGTTGAGGCGTGCAACACTTGTGCAGAAGGCTACTTGATGGAGGAGTGGAGGTGCGTGTCCTCCTGCAGTGCTGGCTTCTACGCCACAGAACCAAACCCAGAGATAGCTGATGGGCACAGGATATGTAGGAGGTGAGCTCACTGGTGTGTGTTCAGGTGTGGGAGGTTTGTTTATCTGCTGGTGGCAGGCCTTATTCTGGTGGTTGGCTTCCACGTGTGTTTGTGCTTGTTTTGGCACTCGTGTTTGTTGTTGCTGTGCGCCTGTATGGAGTGGGGTTTAGTTATTTTTTCTGTGTGTGTGTTTTGTGTGGTCAGGATTTTTGTGTGAAGGGTTCACTTGTTCACTCTCTGTGCTCCTCTCTTCAGGTGTGACGCCAGCTGTCTCACCTGTGTGGGGCCGAGCCGATGGAACTGCAGCAGCTGTTCCAGCGGTCACAGCCTGCAGAGGGGAGCATGTGCTGCTGACACCGAGTGCACGGACGGTCGGTCGGCCGTCTTCCACGTTTTATTCTTGACACGTTTGGTTCATAAATTTAAATGATATTTAACACAGAAGCAAAATCCATTAATATGTGTCAGTTTAGCATGAAATATGCATTCGCATCTCTGAGTCATTCAGAATTTTTTTGTTAAACCAGAAGTCATTCAGCCGTGGCACATGAAAACCACCTCTGCACCTCAGATGGTTATTCATTTCTGAGTCAGTGTGCTTCTCCTGCTTTCTGTCTAACAGGAGAGTACCAGGACAGTAACGGGGAGTGCCACGCGTGCCACGCAACGTGCCTGAAGTGCACAGGGCCGCAAAGC